TGTTGTTCTGGCTCTTGACTCCAGCTTCTTGCCAGTACAGACCCTTTACGGCAGTGCTGATGGCTCAGGTAATTGGATTCCTACTATCCGTGTAGGTTACCTGGATTAAGTTCTTGGCTCCTGAAGCTGAACCTGGCCTGCTCCTAGCCATTGCAGGTGTTTGGAGAGTGAACCATGGGATGGGAGCTCACTTGCTCTCTCTGCCTCTAAAATAAATAAAAAATAATAAAATAAGAATTTTTAGAACTGATATCTGTTGTAATGTGTGTCAATACATTGTTCCTTTTATAGCTGAATAGTATTCAATTGTGTTGATATACCACATTATACCATATTTTGTTTAGCCAGGAATATTTACTTTTGTAGCCAGTTAGCATCACAGTTAGCAAAATTAATAATCCTCCTTGCATCACCTAGTATCTAGATTGTCTTCAGATATTTCCATGGTCTGTTGCAGGGTCACACATTACAACTGTGTGTGTTCCTTAATCTCTTTTAATCTAAGCTATCCCTTTTTTGATGGCCCTGATGAGAAGGAACCATGATGGCTTTTTTGTAATACACTCCACCTCCTGGATTTGTTTGAGTGCTTCCCTGTGGCATTCCTTAGCCTGTCAAGTATATTTCTTGAAAAACTTCATTACTTTCTGGTTAAACATTTTTGGCTAGGGTGGTGCATTGAATATAATATTATGTGCTTCATATTGTCTAAGTGTCTATCCCACCATTTGTAATGTTAAGATTGATCATTGGGTCTGAGTGGTGGTACTCTGATCTTCCAGTGTAAAACATATTTTGTTCAGTCCTTGCCATTAAAAAGTAGTCTTTCTTGGTTACCTTGGTACAAAATAGATGTACAGTTTCCTGTAAATCTTTAATTTGATGATCTAAAACACTGATTGATAATCAGAGCTTGAATCAATATTATGATAGGTTGCAAACTAACAGTTTTTCCAATCATTCCACATACAGTTATAACTGGCATTTTTCTATAAAGAAGAGCTTTTCTTTTTACAGCTATTTGCTTTCTCCAAACTATGGATCATTCTTTAAAGCAAGAAAATAATGCCTGATTTCTTTGCCCACAACCCTAATAATTTTCATTGAAATGCATTACATTGCCAATGTTCAGTTGCAGATATTCTGTAATTTCCAGTGGGATGTTCTTCTCAAATATATGGTTTAAATAAATTGTAAGGATTTTGAGTTTCTAGCTTTTTATTTTTGTTAAAAGATTTATTTATTTTGAAAATCAGAGTTACAGAGAAAAAGGAAGAGAGAGAGAGGGAGAATGTATATGAGAATGAATCTTCCATCTGCTGTTTTACTCTCCAAATGGCTGTAATGGCCACTGTTAGCCAGTGCTGAGCCAGGCCAAAGCCAGGAGCTTCATTCCGGTCTGCCATGTGGGTGGCACAGGCCCAAACACTTGGACTGTCTTCGGCTGCTTTTCCCAAGCCATAATCAGGGAGCTGGATTGGAAGTGGAGCAGCGGGGACACAATCTAATACCCATATGGGATGCCAGCAGCCGTGTTACCATTGTGACACAATGCTGGCCTGGAGTTTCTAGCTTTTAAAATCTGTTTTTCAAGTTCCATTTTTGTAGGTGACTTATATTGTACTTAGAGAATGTAGCCTGTATTACATTGGGTTTTTTAAATTACTGAGATGGCCTGTGTAACCTACCATTAACAAATTTTTGATACCTATGTATACATATGTATATCTCCAGTTTTGCCAACACCATTTCTTGAAAAGATTATTTTTACTCCACTATATGATCTGAGCATTTTTATCCAAAATGGCTAAATGTGTGGGGATTAATTTCTGGGCTCTCTATTCTGTTCCATTGATATACATACCATTTTTTATGCCAGTACACTGCTGTTTTAATCACTGTAGCTTTGTTGTTAGGTATTGTGATACCTCCAGCTTGATTTTTCTTGTGCAGGATTGTCTTGACTATTCAGAGATTTTGTGATTCCATATGCATTTTAGAATTGCTTTTTCTAATTCTGTAAAGAATGTCATGGATATTTTGATAGGGATTACATTGAATATATAGATTGCTTTTAATAGTATAGACATTTTAATATTTATTCTGATGCATGAGCCAGGAATACTCTGATACTTTGAAATCACCCCAAGATCACTTTTAATACCAGTACAATGTAAGTGATATTTCTGTAGTTGTTACCTGCATTACTTAGGGGAGAGAACAAAAAATGTAGATATTCAGGGTTGATGTAATTTTTTAAAATAATTTTCTGTTGTGATGTGTTGAATCCACAGATGCAGAACTTATGGATATGGAGGACCAACTATGTTCTTAACTTTTTATAGGATGGACAGTGCAAAATATTTCTGTTAGATCAGGATTACTCATAATACTCTTTGAAATATTCATATCTCTATTTTTTGTCTGCTTGATGTATCATTTACTTAGCATTTTAGTCCATTTACAGTTGCTGTAACAAAATACACAAAGCGGGAAAAATTATCAAGAAGAGGTTTCTTTTGGCTCACAGTGTTGGAAGTCCAAGAACGTTGTGCTTTATCTGCTTGGCTTTTTTTTTTTAAGATTTCATCTATTTATTTGAGAGGCAGAGTTACAAACAGTGAGAGAAAAAGACAGAGAGAAAGTTCTTCGTTCCATTGGCTCACTCCCCAGACAGCCACAATGTCCAGAGCTGCGCCGATCCAAAACCAGGAGCCACAGGTGGAAGATTAACCTACTGCGCCACGGAGCCGGCCCCTCTGCTTGGCTTCTGGTCAGGGGTGTGCACTGTTCCATGGGTGGCAGAAAAGCAGAAAGGGAAATGGGCACACGTGAGAGGAACAAGTATGTAGGAGAGATGGAGGGGAGGTGCCAGGCTTGTAACAGCTTACTCTTTTGATAACTAACTCACTCTGGTGGGAAATATGTTAATACTTTTGTGAGTGTAGAGCCCCAGTGACCTGATTTTCTTTTAAATGTTCTACCACCTCTCAACACTAGTACATTAGAGACTAGTCTTCAACATGAGTTTCATTACACTTTGAGAGATGAATTAAAAATGCTCCATTAGGGGCCGGTGCTGTGGCGTAGTGGGTATTGCCGCTGCCTGCAGTGCCAGCATCCCATATGGGCGCCGGTTTGAGTCTTGGCTAGTCCACTTCCGATCCAGCTCTCTGCTATGGCCTGGGAAAGCAGTGGAAGATGGCCCAAGTCCTTGGGCCCCTGCATCCATGAGGGAGACCCAAAAGCGCCTGGCTCCTGGATTCGGATCAGCACAGCTCCGGCCATTGCAGCCATCTGGGTAGTGAACCAGTGGATGGAAGACTCTCTCTCTCTCTCTCTATCTCTCTGCGTCTCTGTAACTCTACCTTTCAAATAAATAATAAATAAACCTTTTTTTTTCTTAAATGCTCCATTTGCAGCACTAACTCTGTGATGCCTCTGAGATGCCTCATGTGCTGCCAGCATCCCATATGAATGATGTGCTTCAGTTTGAGTCCCAGCTGCTTTGCTTCTGATCCAGCTCCCTGCTGGTGTGCCTGGGAAGGCAGTGTAAGAGGTCCCAGCTATTTGGCCCCTGACACCCCCGTGTGTGACCCAGTTGAATTCTGGGCTCCTACTTTGAATGATACAGTCCTGGCCATTTGGGGAGTGAATCAGTAGATGGAAGATATATTTCTACTTCTCTCTGTAACTCTGTCCTTTAAATAAATAAATAAATAAATAGGGGCCGGCGCTGTGGCATAGTGGGTAAAGCCGCTGCCTGCAGTGCCTGCATCCCATATGGGTGCCAGTATGAGACCCAGCTGCTCCACTTCCAATCCAGCTCTCTTATATGGCCTGGGAAAGCAGTAGAAGATGGCCAAAGTCCTTGGGCCCCTGCACCCACATGAGAGACCCAGAAGAAGCTCCTGGTTCCTGGCTTCAGATCAGCACAGCTCTGGCCATTATGGCCATCTGGGGAGTGAACCAGTGGATGGAAAACCTCTCTCTCTGTCTCTACCTCTCTCTGTAAATCTGTCTTTCAAATAAATAAAATAAAAAAATCTTTTGGGGCCAGCTCTGTGGCGCAGTGGGTTAACACCCTGGCCTGAAACGCTGGCATCCCATATGGGTTCCGGTTCTAGTCCTGGCTGCTCCTCTTCTGATCAAGCTCTCTGCTATGAGAAAGCAGTCGAAGATGGCCCAAGTCCTTGGGCCTCTGCACCTGCATGGGAGACCCGGAAGAAGCTCCTGGCTTCGGATCGGCACAGCTCCGGCCGTTGCGGCCAATTGGGGAGTGAGCCATCAGATGGAAGGCCTCTCTCTCTCTCTCTCTCTCTCTCTTTCTGTGCCTCACCTCTCTCTGTGTAACTCTGACTTTCAAATAAATAAATAAATCTTTAAAAAAATCTTTTTGAGGGTCTTCAATTAGAATTAAAGATTTATTTTTTTTAATTTATTTGACAGGTAGAGTTATAGACAGCGAGAGAGAGACAGAAAGGACTTCCTTCTGTTGGTTCACCCCCCAAATGGCCACCACAGCCAGAACTGCGCTGATCCAAAGCCAGGAGCCAGGTGCTTCTTCTTGGTCTCCCATGTGGGTGCAGGGGCCCAAGCACTGCCCTCCCGGGCCACAGCAGAGAGCTGGACTGGAAGAGGAATAGCAGGGACTAGAACCAGCACCCGTATGGGATGCCAGTGCCGCAGGTGGAGGATTAACCAAGTGAACCATGGTGCCGGCCCCAGAATTAAAGATTTTTAACATTTATACAGACACCTTTCACATTTTTGCTTTATATATTTTGATGCTATGTTTTTATGGTTTTAGCTTTATGATTTATTAAATTGTGTTGTATGCTTCCTTTTATTAGTAACAAAATTCTCCTTCATCCCCTTTAAATGCTGTTCATTTATGTGTAATGTTAATAATTAGCTATAACATCATCTTTTGATTTACATTCTTTTAGTAAGTTTCTACTGTTCCTGATTTTTAAAAGTTTTGTGTTATTTTGTTTTAGGTGTGTATCTTATAAGCAGTGTATGGTAGAATTTTAAGCAAGTATCAGAAGCTCTGCATTTGAGTAGGTGAGTTATATACTCTAATTCATGATATATTTAGATTTATTTCTGCCATCGTATTTTTTGTTTTGTCTCCCATGCATTTTCTGCTTCTCCCCACCCACCCTCTTTTTTTCCTACCTTCTATTGAACACCCCACTTGCTTTTTTTCTTTTATTTCCCAGGCTGTCAGTTTGGAAGGTATTGTTCAATATCTGTTTCTTCAATGGTTACTCTAAAGGGTAATATATATATTTAAATGATTTTTTGGAAAATGTTAAAGTTCTTTTTGAACTAAGAAGGTTAGCATATTTTAATTTTCCTCTAAAGCATCTTGTGGCAGCTACGATGTCATTTTTACCTAGTACAGAGACACTTCAAAAAATCTGTGGACAATGGAATTAAAACCTAAGCTTATTTTGGTGCAAAAAGTTTTTGAAATCTGTGCATACAAGGGGTCATCAAAACGTTCATGGAAAATGTGTTATTAAAAAGACTGCATGGATTTCAAACAGCGTTTACATCGAAGTACACTTATCTTATAATTCCATTTTCCATAAACTTTTTAATGTGCCTTGTATTTCAGTTTTGCTCTTTTACCATATAGAAAAATTTTTATCCTTGTTCTTTTATCTTTATTAATATTTATTTGTTGCTTTTTGCATCCCCTTCAATTCCTCTTAGCTCATTTTTCTTCATATTAAAATATATTCTTTGAGACTTCTTTCAGGAAAAGTTTATGGA